TATTTCATAAATCACCCTTTAAGGTCGTAATTTCTTTCCAAAGGGAACTTTCCTTATACATAATGTTAAAAAAACCTCAGCTGTCCTTATTTGTATGTTATTCTTTCAATGTATTTCCTTATTAAAATCAGGTGTAATTATTTGTTTGTATTTCTGTATTCTGTTTTGTTTATTCAAGTTTAACTTAACCAATCAATAATTTTATTAATACTTGTGAATTAAAACGGGGTGGGTGAAGCCCGTGGGTAACAGCTAGTATGCTTTAAAACCTTTTATCTCAGCTTATGTGCATCGCAGGGAAAATCTACGCATACTGTTAGAAAGATAGTTTCCTGTGGATGTGCAGAATGCCTTTATAAATTAAAATACAAAAATAAGCACAAAATTATAAGTGCTTCGCTCAATAATATAAATGGGGTATTTGCATTTTTGTGACGCTTAACATCACGCACACTGCGCCTCTGCGATGAAATCAAGCAGTAGTGAGTAGACAGACACAGCAAAAAACCGCCAACCGGGCGCTCGAAGGCTTGTACAATAGGAAACAATGCCATTGTTTGCGCTTCCGTTGGTAACGCAAATATTTAGAGCTCGATATACTAGGAGCAGCACACTACTATAGCAGGGTTTATTGAAATCGTATTGGTGGATCTTTTGCAGTTAAACACTTTACCTGCTCTGGTAAAAAAAAAAATGCTAAATTTTTATAATTTTTTAGTAGTGATTTCTATATGTCCGCTATTTTACCAGTGTAAAGCAGATTAATTTATGATTTTATATAAGAAAAAATATCTGTTTGTTGAGAAGGCACGTTGTAACTTCAAAGGGATGTATATCCGTTTTTGATTTTTCCTTCGTCTTGTCGCGTCAGTTCATATCGTACATATGTACTTCTGTGCAAATGAATAACCCTCTATCATAGTTTGAGAAATTGGTTGTGGGGTTACTGTTAAAGCTAAAATTCATTGACATGGGGGATGTCAGTTAGTTGTCTCAGCCTTATACGTAGGCTACATAAAGTTGTCAATTAATCTCTCTACGTAATGTTAGGGGCTTACTCGTTTATATGGTCATGTGGCTTCTTTTGCAACAAATGATGCAAATAAAATAGCATAATCTTTGAGTCGAATCTTTTAAAGTCATCAGAAATTATGAATGTTATTCGTTTTAAAATAACGCCTGTAATACTTAGCAATTGCTCGAATTCGAGCAAGAGGGACACTATTACTTATTTAATACGCAAGCAGGATTTTTGTGACAATTACTCCTCCGAAACTACTGAACCGATTGACATGTTTTTGGTCTCATTGGAAAGAACGTAACGTGAAGTTGTGCAGGAGACTTTCATTTTAGGGGAATAATACCTTTTTATTGTTATCTTGCAAATACTGTCATGGCATCCACTTAACTCATAAGGCCCATGTTAAATTTCTAAAAGTTTAAATTCACATAGGGAAAACCCCCGTGGTCCGATTTGTTCCATTTCAGATTTATACCTTCCCGTGGTTGGGTACTATGACTGTGCTAAATTTCATGCAGATCGCTTCAGCCGTTCATGAGGAGTATTTGTAAAACTAAAGCAGGAGTGTAGTATAAGAGCTTCGCTCCGTTCAAAAAGGTAAACAAAAGTTGTAACATGTGTTTACAAAAAAATCATCTAAACTAGCACATTGCAAAATAGAGAACAAAAGGGGAGAACAATCGGATTGATACCGTTGAGCATTATTTGCTACAAAATGTATAACCAATAAGGATTATGCACCATTGGCTTTTGATGTTACAAGTAGACATTTTTCATTTACGTGAACCAGACGTACAATTTACTTTGAATACTGCACATAGGGATTCCAAATTATGTGAACCAAATATATCATTAACTTTGGATACAGCAATTAGACATTACATTAACGTGAACCAGATGCATTATTGACTTTAGATACTGGAAGTATAGATATCCCATTTACAAGAAACAGAGACATTGACTTTGATACTACAAGTAGACATCCGATTTACGTGAACCAAATGTATCATTAACTTTGGATAGGTACTGCAAGTAGACATTCCATTAACTTGAACCAGACGTGCCATTGACTTTAGATACTGCAAGTAGACATATAATTTATGAGAACCAGATGAACCATCGACTTTAAATACTGCAAGTATACATTTCATTTGCGTGAACCAAATGTGCCATTGACATTAGATACTTCAAGTAGACATTTAATTTATTAGAACCGGATAGACCATTGACTTCGGATACTGTAAGAAGACATCCCCTTTACATATAACATATTTGGGTTCTGCAAGTAGACATTCCATTATTTATGTGAATCATACGTACCATTGACTTAGGATTCGTTAAGGAGACATCTCATTACGTGAACCAAATGTACCATTGACTTTGGATACTGCAAGTAGACATTCCATTATTTATGTGAATCATACGTACCATTGACTTAGGATTCGTTAAGGAGACATCTCATTACGTGAACCAAATGTACCATTGACTTTGGATACTGCAAGTAGACATTCCATTTACTTGAACCAAAATGTGCCATTTGCATTGGATACATCAATAGACATTTAATTTATAAAAACAGAAAGACCATTGGATTTAGATAGGTACTGCAAGTATACATCTCATTAACGTGAACCAATTGTACCATTGACTTGGGATACTGCAAGTAGACTAGACATCCCGTTTACGTGATATAAATGCACCATTGACACTGGATACTGCAAAGAGACATCTCATTTACGTTAACCAAAAGGAGCATTGACTTTGGATACTGTAAGTATACTTCCCATTTACGTATAACAAATGTAGCATTACCTTTGGGTTCTGCAAGTAGACATTCCAT